AGCAAACCCAGGGATGTCCTGCAGTTCAGGAGCATCCACAAGGATCCCAAAGCCTTTGAGAAATGCAGCGGCTGCCCCTTGCTCCCTTGCCCACAGACGGCGTGCCTGCTTCTGGGGTGGGACGAGGCAGCCGCTTACCAGCATTCATTCAGCAAAGCCATGCAATAGGTTAGGACAGGAAGCGAAGACAGTTCTCATTCGGTTTCTGCATATAGCACTGTGAATCAGAGATCACTCCACGGGACCCTCCCCGGCTTGCCGGGGAGGTTTCGGAAAGCAGGGCACGATGTCTCCCACGCTTTCGGAGGGGTTCGTGCTTGGTGGAATCAAGCGCCTGGTCCTTCCCTGCAGGGGTGACAAGGCGGCCTGTTTGCTCTTTCATTTTTGTTTTACCTCATTTTTTGGTTTTGATACTTGAAGAAGAGTCAGTGATTGACATTGTACAGTGATGCCCTGGACTGGAGAGTGGATGCACTTTATAGTAACTTGTATACTGATAGTGAGGTCCCATCCTGCCTCTGCTGAGCCCACAGCAAGGTTTCCTTGGTGTCAGCACTGGCAGGAGCAGAGCCAGGATGGGCTGGTTCTTCCAAAAACCTTTCTAGGATGTTAGGGAGCAATCTCTGTATTTTATTGTGGTTTTTCACATACTGTAGAAACTCGGTAGTCACGTTCTGCTGTCAGTTGACCTGGTGGAAAATTCTATGTTGGGCTGACTTCAGTTTTGCCTGTGCTGTGATGGCTGGAGACAGTGGAGGTCAGGCAGCTCCTACCTTTACTCCCGTGTAACTCACCCATTTCAATGGGGTTACTCTACTGGAATCTGAAGTTGCTTCAGCCCTGGCAGGCTGCAGTGTTACTGCTGGATCCACTCCAGTATCACTTCAGGGCTGCTAATGGAGCAAATTGAAAGTCACCCCCAGTAAAGTGACACTAATGTAAAATTTGGAGTTGTTCCACTGGTGTCTGTGCAGGGATAAAAAAATGAAGTCAACCTCCGATGGTGGCACCAGTTTACCAGGCAGCTGATGGCAGAATGTGTTTTCTGGTCTTGCGATGATGCTTTTCAGACAACTTACAGAGAAACAGAGCGATGAGACAGAGCAGCACTTCGTGGCCACGGAGATCTTCTCTTGGCTCCAAGGAGCTGGGAAGGAGAGACAGGGTTGCAGGCTGCTTTGCTCATCTGTGAAACAATCAGCACTTTTTTTTTCCTTTTTCTTTATGAATTCTGTTCAAGATAATCGTAAAAAAAGGTGAAAAAAAATCAGGGGCCAGATCCTGTTTTGCAATTGAGGATTTGCTCCTGGGTTAAAAGCAGTGTTAAGCAAACATGAAAGGCAGTGGGCATGAGTGCTGACGAATCCCAAACTAGCAGGTCTGTTCGAGCCAAGCTGCAGAGCTTGTTCATGCTGCTGTGCTGCAGAGTTGACTCTGATCCCAGCCCCAGGCGAGCCAGGGAAATCCCCAGGGATGCCCAGAGCAGCCCCTGGGCATCCGGCTGCATGGTCGGGAGCCTTTGGGGCTGCAGAGGATTTCCTCCAGCTCTGCCCCAGTATCAAAGAGATCCAGGCTCCAGCTTGCTGCCGTTGGGACTCTAGCAAAGCAGCTCCAGTGGGATTTCCCATGTAAGATGTGAGCTAAAAACCCAAGCCACCGGGGACCATCAGCAGCCAATCTTGGCAATACCCATGCAGTGGCAGTGGCTTCCAGGGGAGCACAGCCCTCCACCAGCCCTTCATGGCTTTTGCTTGACCAGTACCATGTTAGCTTTCTCTCATCCTTGCTCAAAAACACTGTACAAGTTTGTGTGTATCCGCTTTCCCATGGATCCGGGTGCTATCACATGGTCCTACTCCACGGTACTACCAACCTCGCGCTGAGCCAGCCAGCCAGCCACAGAGTTGCCCGGTGTTAGCCTGGCTGTCCTGACTGTGTGGCCCTTCCATTTAAAGTCCATTCCCTGTTATGTTGTGTTTGCTTTTTTTTTTTTTCCCCTCTTTTCTTTTAACGTCATAGGAAACCTGTAGTCGGGATTGTTACTATTGGAAACCGATCACATGTTCCATCCAGGTATTTTCATCTCTCCGGCATTACGCAAAAATAAAGGCCTGAGAGAGATATAACCGAACATAGAAGTAGAGTTAGGCTCGTTGTCTGAGTTTTGAGGCATATAGTATAAGGGGAGAAGGAAAAAAATTAAAATAAAATAAAAAATTAAAATAATGATGTTGCACAACTTGTAGAAAACAAAGAAGGGAAAGGGTTAATGTATTAAATGTGCTAAATTACATTAAGAACTTAATTTTATTAAAGTATTATTACTTAAGAAACTTGGCGTCTGCTCTTGGTTTCTGTCTGTTCACGCTTTAGGAGGGGGTCCAGGGGTGGTGGTTGGGAACAGGGCCCCCGGCCGGGCTGAGCTCCGGGAGCCATTTGGGCTGTAACCTCCTTCTACCACCCTTCATGGGTCTCCCACTGAGTTTCACACCTTTAGCAACACCTCTGAGGGTTAATTAGAGCAAAGGAGTTTCACATGCAAGACTATCGGTTCCCCTGCACCAGCTGCTGTTCCCACTCCTGGTGGCAGCAAGGTCCCATGTCCATGAGCCTTGTGTGCAAACCCGTGCCTTGTTTCACCCTTCCCACTACTTCATTCCAGTAAAAATCATATAAAAGCAGGAAAACCTGGAACAAAACTGAGCTGCCGAGCCTGAAAAGTGTCTCTATGAGCCTAAATGAGCTCATCATCCCATGTGTCTGTGCCAGCACCTGGCTGAATGGCACGTCTGACGGCAACAAGCCCCAAGGGACGCTTGGCTCAACCCCTGTCCCTTTGCGGAGCCAGGGGCAGCATCCTTCCCCTGTGCACCCACCTTTCCCAGCGGCGGGGCTGACATCACCTCTTGGCACCATGTTTCGGTGTGGGCAGATGGTGGTGCGAGAGGTGCTGGTGCTTGGCAGCTCTCCGGCTGGTCTGCGTATAGCCATACCTCTCCCAGCTGGTGTGGGCACAGGGCAGAGTCCGGCTGGGTGGGATAATAACTGTCACTCACCTGGGGACAGCCTCCAACATGGTCAGACACAAATAGGATATGGCCAAAGATGGGTCTGGCCAGCTCAGGGATGAGGCTGCCTCTGGCACAGAGCAGCGCCATGGTGCTGGGACAAGCTGCACCAACATGTCTCGAGCCAAGGTTAAGCTGCTGCCAGGGCTGGGGTGGCTGCGCTGTCAGATGGAAAAAAAGGGGCAGCCTCGACCCAAATGGGGCTGGCACCCACACAGCGCAGCCATTTCTGTGCCTGGTTCATGCACCCCAGCGCTCCCCCTGTGCCATAGCAGCAGGATCCAACTTGCCCCTCTGAGCCCAAATTTCAAGCTCTCCCCTCCAGCCTCCCAGCAGGACACCCCCTTGCCCAGGCTATGGTCACACCTTCCTCCCTGCCCTTCCTCCTCCTCGCCTCTCACGTCCTTCATCGCTTGGGGATGCTGCCCAGCTGCTCCGTGCCCAAGCAGGCAGAGGCATGGGGCTAGAGCTAGCACAGTTCCTGGCCTCAAGGAAGGACCCTGGCAGAGAGAGAAAGTGCCTCCACCAGCAACTTTATTTGGGGATTTTGCCCAAATTCCAGTTTCATCGATAAATTGTGCCCCAAGGCAAGACCCTGGCACAGATCCTGCCGGCACAGCCAAGTGAGATGGAGTGACCAGGGGCAGCCATGGAGAGACAGAGACACCCCCCCCCAAAACCCCCAGTGTGGTGGGGGACATGCTCCCAGCACTGGGGTTAATGGGAACAGGCTCTCCCAGGAAGGCCACCGCAGCGCCTGCACGCCTCTTGATTGACACCTGCCAATCACCCCTTGACAGCAGCACTGGCCTCAGCCCGGTCTGTCCCAGCACCTCGGGCGATGCCCACGCTGGGATGTACCCGCTGTCCCCCAAGCAGGGGAACGGGCCACCGTCACCCCGTGGGTGCAGCAGACGCTCCATCTAGTGGCAGCCGGGTTCCCAAGGCCGGGCCACGCTGTCACCAGCCCCCAGCCACGAGTGGCAAAAGACTTGAGGGGGAGCAGGTTGGAGTCATGTGGGAAGCTCTTCGCAGCCCAGAGCCAAGGGACCTCATGTCCTGGCACCGGCACCCACATAGGGAGGCATGCGGAGGGACAAGGTGCCCACCTTCAGCACCCCATCCCCACCCTCACCCCCCGCCCCAGGACCCCCTTGTCCCCTCCTCGGGGTTCCCCCTAAGGACATGCCCCCCCCAGGTCCCTGCTCCAGTGCCCCTGGGCTGGGGCAGGAGGGGAAGAGATGCAGCTCTTCCCTTTGCTGGGGCTGTGCAGCAGGCACGCCTCAAGGGGCTCACAGCATGAAAAACAGGGTCCTTCCACACACGAGTAGAGGGTCACCCCCCCTAGCCCACACTGGGGTGTCCCACAGCTGCCCCAGCAGCACCCAGAGGCACACCCAGCCCTTGGTGTTGAAGGGGCAGGGCTGGGTACAACTGGCTGCATTCCTGCTCACTTCACCAGGCAAGAGAAGGGTGCACCCAGTGTCCTCCTCCACACCCTCCCCAAAAGGCTGCACCCAGGGGTGCCACAGAAATGTGGCGCAGAACAAGGGACTCACGATGTTTGGGCTTGTTCAGGGCCGCCCCGAGTCACCCAGTGACTGTGCCTTCAGGGCTAGAGGAAGCAGGGACACAAGGGGATGGCATGTCTCAAACCACGGGGAGAGATCCCCATGCTCCCCCCCCCCCCCCCA